CGGGTCTCGAACCCACAGGCTCAGGCCATCCACTCACCTCAGCCTCCCAAAGGCACGGGATGACAGGCTGAGCCACGGAGCCCGGCATCCTTTGCCCACTTTTTAAGGGGTTTATTCCGCTGTTGTTGAGTCGTTTGAGTTCCTTGTATATTCTGAGTATTAGTCCCGTAAGAGGAATAGCTTGTATGTATTTTCTACCATTCTACAGGTTGTCTGTTTACTGTTATTTCTTTTGCTGAGAAGCAGCCTTTTAGTTTAGTTAAGTTACATTTGTCTATTTTAATTTTTGTTACCTGTGCTTTTGAGGCCTTAGTAATCAATTATTTGCCTAGACCGATGTCTAGAAGAGTTTTGCCTAGGTTTTCTTCATGTGTTTTTGTATGTTTGTGTATTTTAGTCAGAGTCTCCTTCTGTCACTGGAGTACAGTGGTGCACTCGTGGCTACCACATCCTCGACCTGCTGGTGGGCTCAGGCGATCCTTCCACCTCAATCTTCCAAGCAGCTGGAACTGCAGGTGTGTGCAACCACACCCAGTTGACTTTGTTAATTTATTGTACAGATGAGGTCTCACTAAGTTGCCCAGGCTGGTCGCGAACCCTTGGGCTCAGCCAATCCTCTCGCCTCTGCCTCCCAAAGTGCTGAGATTACAGGCATGAGCCACCATGCCTGGCTTCTTCTAGTATTCCCAGTTTGGGGTCTTACGTTTAAGTCTTTAATTCATCTTGAGTTGATTTTTGTACATGGTGAGAGGTAAGGGTTCAGTTTCATTCTCCTGCTTGTGACTCGCCAATGTTTCCAGCGTTCCCAGAAAGGGTGTCCTTCTTCCAGTGTAAGTTCTTGTCAGTTTTGTCAAAGATCAGGTGGCTGTAAATATGTGGCTTTGTTTCTGGGTTCTCTGTGCTGTTCTGTTGGCCCTATGGGTCTATTTTTATACTGGTACCATGCTGTTTCGGTTACAAAGGAGGTTTCATGGCCTTGTAGTATGGTTTGAAGTCAGGTAAAGTTATGCCTCTGGCTTTGTTGTTTTTGCTCAGGATTGCTTTAGCTCCTGGAGCTTTTTTGGTTCCATATGAATTTTAGGATTTTTTTTCTAATTCTGTGAAGAATGATGTTGGTATTTTGATAGGGATTGCACTGAATGTGTAGATTGCTTTGAGCACCATGGTCGTTTTAACGATATTCATGAACATGAGGTGCTCTTCCATTTTTTTTGTTATCTATAGCTTCCTTCATCAGAGTTTTGTAGTTTTCCGTTTCCTAGTTTCCTTCCACCTCTGTGGTTAAATTTTATTTTTTGCAACGATTGTAAGAATGGCTTTCTTTTTTTTTGAATTGGAGTCTCACTCTGTCGCCCAGACTGGAGTGCAGGGGCCGCTCCCGGCCACCACAGCCTCGACCTCCTGGGCTCCGGCGATCCTTCCGCCTCAGCCTTCCGAGTAGCCAGAATTACGGGCGCGCGCTACCAACGCCCAGCTGATTTTTTGATTTATTGTAGAGATGAGGTCTCGCTGCCCAGGCGGGTCTCGAACCCGCAGGCTCAGGCAATCCACTCACCTCAGCCTCCCAAAGGCGCAGGATGACAGGCTGAGCCACCGAGCCCAGCAAGAATGGCTTTCTTGATTCTTTCACAGCTCAATCATTATTGGTGTATAGAAACGCGAGTGAGTTTTGTATGTTGACTTTGTATCCTGAACCTTTACTGAATTCATATGTCAAATCTAACAGGTTTTTGGTGGAGACTTTAGGTTTTTCTAGATATAAGATCATATCACCAGCAAATGGGGATAGTTTGACTTCCCATTTTCCAGTTTGGATGCCTTTTCTTTCTCTCGCCTGATTGCTCTGGCTAGGATGAAAGATTTATCTGTAGGGAAAATTTAAGTTCCCAGGCTGGTCAGGAGGCAGCTGGCAGTGGAAAGGCGAGCCTTCCGTAAAAGGAACACCACACTTCCTGCTCCTGCGTGGAGGAATCGGCCTCCAGAGCACTCAGTCTTAGCTCTACCTTTCCAGCTCTGCCAGGGGATTGCTTTCAAAGCTATAATATCTTTCATTTATGAGAAAGTTCATGCAAAATTCACACATACACTAGTAGAGAGAATGATATAACGGACTCCCTTATACTCATCACTGACTCCGAGGTTTGATTGATTGATTGATTGATTGAGTTGGAGTCTCACTCTGTCGCCCAGGCCGGAGTGCAGTGGCACGCAGGCTCACGGCCACCCCAGCGTTGACCCACTGGGCTCCAGTGATCCTTCCACCTCAGCCTTCCAAGCCTCAGCCAGAACCACAGGTGCACACTACCATGCCCGGGTAATGTTTTTGATTTATTGTAGAGATGAGGTCTCGCCAAGTTGCCCGGGCGGGTCTTGAACCCAAGAGCTCAGGCAGTCCACTCGCCTCAGCCTCCACAGTGCTGGGATGACAGGCTAGCCGCCGAGCCCGGTGGATTCCGAGACTTGAAAAGAACCGTAGAGCCGCTTTGCCTGTGGCAGGCTTCCACTAAGCGCATGACACGAGCCGCACCCTTGGACGTCTGGCTTGTGTGCTTCAGCCCGGCGCCCGTGAGGGCCACCATGCTGCCATCTGTATCCCTGGCCTGAGGCCGGTGCCGCGCCTTGTTGGAAGGACATGCTGCGGCGTGTTCGTCCATCCATCACTGTCGATGGTCTTTGGGGCTGTTTGGGGCCAGGAACCCTTGGGTGCTTGTCTTTGCATTCTCGTTTCTCAACAAGATGACTCTGTGATCAGCCTTTCTCTCTGACACCCTGGGAACGGGGTCCTCCAAGTGGAAGAAACGGGTGTGCTGACGCACAAGCTAAGAACATAACATCGCAGGGTCGGTTGGGTTTCTGGATTCATTCATCTCAGCTGAGCTGTGTTTGACTCGGCGGTTCACGCACCAGAAGGCAGATCCCAAGACACCAAAGGTGAAGACGGTTCCCACTCCAGGCCTTCAGGCGTACAGGGCCCCTCTCCAAAGGCCCCCGCTGTTACAGATGTCCTCTGTCCCCTTCCAGAAATGCTGTCTGTGTATAAGCGAATAGGCAGGTGCCCTCCCCCTCCCTTTATGGATGGGGCATTCTGTTCACCAGTTGTGCGTCTTTGGCTGCGAAAAGGGAGGCGTTTCATCTGCAGCGAATCAACTCCCAGCTCCATAGGAACTGTTCTCTCCATTAAGGCCACTGAACGGGACGCAGAACTGGCCTTTGCACCACAGTGTAGGCGGGGGCAAACAGACAGTGACTTTAGGCCCATACTTCTGAGCCTCTCCAGGTCCGGGAACCGAGGCCTTTGTGACCCAGAAGAGGCAAAGCTGTCTCAGGGACACCAGATGCGGATCCGTAAAAGAACCCCGTGACAGAGCAGACTTTGTTCGAAACTAAAAGCTTCTGGTTCTTCAAAGGACGAAAAGGCAAGGACGGATGAGAGGCGGTGTCTGCAAACTGCATGTATGACCAAGGACTTGGATCTGGAATACATGAAGGATTCTCAATATTCAACCAGAAAACCACCCAGTTTTTTGTTAAAGTAGTCAAAATAAGCTGGGCTCGGTGGCTCAGCCTGTCATCCGGCACCTTTGGGAGGCTGAGGTGAGCGGATTGCCTGAGCCCGCGGGTTCGAGACCCGCCTGGGCAGCGAGACCTCATCTCTACAATCAATCAAAAAATCAGCCGGGCGTGGTAGCGGCGCGCCTGTAATTCCGGCTACTTGGAAGGCCGAGGCGGAAGGATCGCCGGAGCCCGGCAAGTCGAGGCTGCGGTGGCCGGGAGCGGCCACTGCACTCGAGTCTGGGCGATGGAGTGAGACTCCAACTAAAAAAAAAAAATAAAGACCGATTGGTACCAGATAACACTCTGCTGACATCGCCTCCCATGTCACAGATGGCAGCAGCCAGAACGCAGCTGGGGGGACAGCACAGGTGTGGGTGCACCTGCCGAGTCCACTTGGCGCCTGTGTCCTCTCAGCGAAGCTCCAGCCATCCACTCACGGGCCTCGTGACGGCGGGACATGATGCGGCTGGGTGCTGGGTGGAGCTGCTGGTGCTCAGGGCAGGGGTCCCCATCCTGCAGCCTCGGAACTGCCTGCGGGGCCATCACGGCCGCCTGTCTCTGCCTCCGCGTGATGCGGATGCTGCCGGTTCAGCCACCACCCCAAGGACCACCGAGCCGGGGCTCTCGAGGCCCCTTCAAGGAAAGGGCAGAGACCACAGAGGACGGAAGGCGACGCGGGAACTCACGGAGCACCCTATCTGAGGGCGTCGAGATCCCCAGGGCCGCCAACTGCTGTACCATGCTCCAAGGGCAGGTGTGACATCAGAGACTTCGAGGAGGATCGGGTGATGTCGGTGTCTTGGGCAGGGGGTAAATCGTCACAGGCTGGGCCCGGTGGTCCCGGTCTGTGGTGCCGGCTCACCCCCTACCGACCTCTTCCACCCGGCCACCCCACACTCCTGCCAAGGGTGACCTGGCCCTACCCTGACACCCCCCCCAGGCGCACCTCCCCGTACTCGGAGACTCCTCCTCAAGGCTGGCCTCCTCCACCCTGACACCCAGCCGCGCCAACGCTGACCTCCTGCCCCTGCCGGGCCCCTGAAGGCTGACCTCGCCCCTCAGACACCCACCCCAAGGCTCACCTCCCTCACCCCGACAGCCCTTCCCCCTCCAAGGCTGACCTCCGCCCACGCAGACCCCACGCCTCAGCTCTCTCCATCCAGACACCCCAAGGCTGGCCTCACTCCGCCTGGACTCCCCGACCCAGACCCTCCAAGGCTGACCACCCCCTCCACATCCCAGCCCTCTCGAGGCCAACCCTCTGGGCGGCCTTACCCCTGGCACTGCCCTAACCCGGGAGCTCCTGCCGGAGGAGACACGACCAGAGCCCTCGGGAATCCACAGCCTGCCCTCCGGGCCCAGAATTCCCAAGGGGGGGATTGCTGAGGACAAGTCCAGGGGTAACGAGCTGTTTCTAAAAATCCCACCAAGACAGTCATACAAAATAATTATCATAAATATTTTTAATTACATTTCCAAACATAAAAGCATTGACTCTGAATGTTCAATCACTGGAAAATATACACAGCATCTCCCCCTGTGTTGACATAAATTATGGCTTACGATAACAATATCCACTTATAAAATAAATCCTTTAGGCACTTGGGTGCAGAAAAGTACTAGAGAATGAAATGTAATTTTTCTTTACTGCTACACATCAGAGAGCAACCAAAACTAGATCTGATTAGATATTCGACTGTCAACACTGTTAGCGTTACTGACCTAAGAACAAACACTGTGACCAAATACATAACTGCTAAACTTCCAGCAAATACAAGATGGGAGAAATTCATTGTTAAGATGTCAAATGCCTTTCAGTGTGTTCACTGAGAGACTGCCTTTCAGGAGACAGAACCCCAAGAAAGATGAAATTTCTTTTTAATCCCTTTGGCTTTTGTGTGTGTGTGTGTGTGTGTGTGTGTGTGTGTGTGTGTGTGACATAGTTAAGAGCTTTCCTGGTGGGCATTTGGGCAGGAAAGAACCAATAACCCCAATCCAGCAGTGCATGAGGCTTTCCAGATAGGAAGAAGCTGACCTGGCAGACCTGGCTTCCATTCCAGCTAGCCATAGACGTCCAGGAGATGCTCCATCAGCGGCAGGATTCAGACACGGGAGGCCGGGTCCTCTCAGACACTGCTACGCAGGCGACAGCAGGCAGGTTTCCTGGGAGTCCACCCTTCTCGCGGTGGACAGAGAGGCGCTCCGTCAGTGAGGCCCAAGGCCGCATTCTGCGGCGGCGAGGTGGAGGGTGTGGTCCCACGTGGCTCCTCTGGTCACGGCGTGGCCGGCACAGCCTGCAGGTGCTGCAGCAGCTGCTCGCAGTGGGCGGGCGAGCGGTGCCTGTGGATGACCGCCTCAGTCTCCCTCACCAGGAGGTCTGGAAACAGGGTGCTGCCCTCTTTGAGGACCTCTGGAAAACAGCAGAACACCCTGAAAACGTCAGGAATGAGTAGGAAGCCTCACTTTACGTGCAAGTCAGCTTTGTGCTCAAGAAAAACACCCTTAAAGGCGCAATGGACCTGACAGTCGCCAGGCGAACAAGCTGAGAGTGACCACTGGGAGTGGTGGACACCAAGAAACAAGGTCCCCGGGCTCTCTAGGCGGCGCTCTGGCCTCCGTAACGGTTCTTGCAGGAGTAAGTACACTGCTTAGGATAACAGCGTCCTCATCTTCCTTGCCGACGCTGGTTCGCCCACAGTCCCTGCAGACTCCACGGGGCCAGCAGGAAACGAAATCCCTCCTGGTGGTTGGGAGCAGCGAGCTGACGACCCTCATCAAAGCTGACGACCCTCATCAAAACAAACATGCCCAGGGAGCTGAGAGCCCGAGAGTCCAGAACATGGGGCTGTGCTAGCTGCTGTCCTCGTTTTAAGCAACTGCCACGTCGCCCCTGCCTCCCAGCCCCTTCGGCCATCCAGGGAGCACTGAGCCAGCTCCTGGCCTCAGCTCTGGCGCCCTCACGCCCCGCAGACAACCTGAGCTCCACGACTCCAGGCAGAGGTTCCCCAAGTATGCTCCATGGATCCCGGGGTCCTCAGGGCTTTGGGGCATCTGGGAGCCACAACCACGTCTGTGCGAACACTAACACTGAGGCCTGGTCATTGTGCTTGTCCCACACGGAGGGTCCAAGAGCTTCAGCCCAGCCTGGGGTCTTCAGGGAGCCAGGGCCACGGCGGGTGCCCCCTGCTGCAGGCTCCCCTCCAGCACAAGGCTTCCACACCAGAGACCCAGGGTTGGGCCCTGAGCTAGGGACTGAGTGGCCACTCCTCCCAGGATGCTGCTCATCCTGGAAAGGCTGCAGGACACACCGAGAGCGCCCTCCGATCACGCAGACGTGGCGTGGGCAGCACGTGCTCTTGAAAGCAAATGGAGTGCGCCTGTCACTCCACAGAGAACGAGTGACAGACTCGGGGCCAAGGATCGAACTCGAGCTTTCACACAAATCACCAGCGCTGTAGAAACTGGTCTCTGTGCCACCAGCTCGGACTCTGCTGAGACCAGTGCTAACAGATGTGGTTTCTGACATCCCTCGAGAAGGCACACAGATGCTTTCCAAGCGACACTACAGGGGCCAAACCATTCATTCACGGTGCAGGAAGAACGGCAGGCAACGTTCAAGGTTCCCTGACATGGCCGCACAGTCTAGACCGCAAGGAGCCTCAGGAAAGTGACTACCTCCGCTACGATGCAGCACTAAGGACTCCAAGATGATCCGAAAAGACTATTAATACACTCTTCTCTTTTCAGCGACACGTGACCCCGAGGCGAGGCCAGGTTTGTGTCATGTATTCCAACCAGGACAACAGACCCACGGCTGCCTGGACGCAGGAGCATCCAGGTGGAAGACACCCAGCTTTCTTCCAGCAAGCTAGACGTTGCAGAGATTTGCAAAACTATAAAGCAATGCCACTCTCCCTGCTGATTATTTTGATTTGGAAAATACGTTTCTCAAAGCCAGGTTGCTTGTGTTACTATGTGATGGGTTTTGTACTGCTATTTTAAACAAGTAAGAAATACCTACAACTGTTCTCCATGTTAACTTCTAGTGAGTATCAGTGGCTACAACCCGCGGGCAAAGCCCTTTGGGCTCGCTGGTGCTGTAGGAGTGTGCCAGGCCTGTGCTCTGCAGGTCACAGCCCTCAGCTAGAGGAAGCACCCTGGCATGCTCACCTAGCACGGCGTCCTGCACGGTGCGCTCCGGGTCGTCGAGGTGCACAAGGAGCTCCCGGTACAGGCACTGCACGCTGCTCTGGTAGCAAGACCTTCCGTCCACACCCTTCACACACTGCAGCCAGGTGACCAGGGTGGAGGCTGCTGCCATCCGCACGTCATTGGAAACGTCATCTAGGCGTTTCAGGAGTTCTGGAAGGGGGGCCGGGACAGGCACATGAGATTCCACCGCAGACGGTTCACATCTACAACTCCACTGAAGGCACTGGGTTCACAATTCTGTAGGACCCACACTGTGAGGGCCTCTATGCACCTGGAGACCAGCGCTTTGATGTCCTGGGACCCCTGGACCGCAGTGGACATAGGAGAGGAGGATGCAGGCCCTGCTGTGGGCCTTGGACCTGCCCAGTGGGCTTGGCAGACCTGAGTTTCCCTGAGGCTGTGTGTTCACCCAGCAGGGGCCCAACCCGTCTCTGAGATGCTTGAGGCCCCCGAGCTGGCCACCTCATCCACATGTCAACCCTCCCCTCTACCCACTGTGGGCCCTGGGAACAGATCGGCACTCGCCATGGTCTGTCTTGTATGTGCTCCCACTCTGCTACTGGGGGCCAATGAATGAGCCTTCCCGATGGGCAGAAACTTTTTAAGTAATTGGTGAGATTTTAATCAAATTTATGTTTTTTTCCCCATCATCTAAAACCTTTGGTACCTACTCCCGTGTGCCTTCTGGAAGTTCTCAGAGGACAGAGTCAGGAAATACGTCAGAAGGGGGCAGACACTCGTGGGAGGCGTAGCTGCCCGCCAGGTGCCCATCCTCAGCCTCATACATGCAGCCAGGCGGGGTCTGTGCACTCTGCCCTCAGCAGGTGCTCCTGGCTGAGGGCGAGGCAAAGGTCAGCACACTCCACCATGATGAGCTCCCAGCTGAGCAGGACCTGCTGGGCTAACTCTGGAGAAGCCAGGCGCTCCCCTGAGGGCGCCGTGCTGCGGTCACCAAGTGCTGGGCACAGGAGAGGAGGAGAGGTGTTGGCGGCATCACGGCACACGTCTCGGGTGAAGGAACTGAGTCAGAGTCTCCTCACGCGTCCAAGGTAGCAGATTGCGGAAGGCCAGGGGGGGAAGGGCAGCTCCTCTGGGCGCGATGAAGGGCACCTCCTGCTGCCGGCCGCTTTGCGACCCCCTGGAGCCATGTGTGTGTTGCCTGAGGATGGGCGCTGCTGGCTATGGCTCTGAACCATCAAGGCTGCCTGCAGTCCACGGCTGTGACCGTTTAAGTCTCCTCCCTCAGTGGCCCAGACTCTGGCCTGTCCTGCTGCTACACTTGCCAGTCTGTCTCGGGGGTCTCGGGCATCTGTGCTCACATCTGAGAACATCCTTGCCTTCTGGCCGGGAGGCGACAATTCTCCCACATCTCAGCTCCAGCAGCAACACAAGGAGCCACCGAGGACTCCTTAAGACGCAAACGGCCAGAGATGGCAGGACGCGTGCCCTCGCACATGCAATTTCTGCTGGCTCTTGTTTTGAAAAGCGAGTGAAACCCAGACATGCTGGCAGCCAACACATCACACTCATGGAATTTGTCCAAAACAGAACCATGAGGGCGTCAGCGGAAAATGGTGTTTGCTGCTGCAAAACAAAAAACACCAAAAGCACAAGCTTGAAAGCGTGTGGGAAAGGTACCAGATCTGGACTTGATCGTGTGGTGGTCTTTCTGCTTAGCGCTCAGTATGTACTTCGAATCTGAAAATTCATGTCTGTCTCCAGCCCTGGCACATTCTGGGCACTGTCCCTTCCGATGTGGCTTCTCTGCCATCCCTCCCCTCCTTCCCTGGGACTCTCCAGAAGTCACACTCAGCACCTGGCTTCCTTCTGCCGTCTTGTCTTCCTCGGTACCGGCTGCTCAGAGAATCCAAAACCACGGTCTTTCAACTCGCTAGTTCTGTTTCCAGTCGTGCCCGGGCCAGCATCGTCCAGCGCACTGAGTTTTAAGTTGCAGCGACTATTCTTCATTTCCAGGAATTCTTAAAAACCATTTTTTAAAATTACGGAGTACTTTTGGCATTCAAAAAAGTATAGATGATAATGAAAACATGGGAATGACTACACAGGTTAAGGAAAGAAAAAATAACAAATTCATCTGCAGCTACTGCAGGTCCCACCTTAGCTCAACCCTCCTTCTCCCTCTCCAGGAGTCATCTTTTCCGGAAATTAGTGTACGCTGGTTTCTAGTTAACTTTTTTTTTTTTGAGTTGGAGTCTCACTCTGTCACCAGGCTGGAGTGCAGTGGCTGGATCACAGCCACCACAGCCTTGATTTGCTGGGTAGTCTCAGGCAATCCCTCCACCTCAGCCTTCCAAGTAGTGGGGACTACTGGTGCGTGCCACTATGCCTGGCTAATTTTTAAAAATTTATTGTGGAAACCAGGTCTTGCCAGTTGCCCGGGCTGGTGTCAGGTTCTTGGACTCAGGCAATCCTCTTGCCTTGGCATCCTCAAGTGCTAGGATTACCATGTCCAGCAGACTCTTTTTTCATGTCCATCTGTTCTTTATTCCGTCTTACTTTTTGTTCTCAGCTTGCTTATTAGGGATGTTATGCTTCTAGCTTCTTGAAAACTTTAAGCACACCTTAAGAAAGATGACTTCAAGTCGGGCTCGGTGGCTCAGCCTGTAATCCCGCGCCTTTGGGAGGCTGAGGTGAGT